AGATGATTCTTGTTACAATTAATTGATAACGAAGCTATTTATTATAGAATAAATTGCTACAAATTTAATATATCATTTTATGACATTATTTATCAAATTTATAACAAAACAATTCGAGCAATTTAGATATTTTCTACCATTTCTTATACATATCTCACTTATTAGCTATCATATTTACACACACACACACACATATATATAGGTATTTAGGTATTTACATATCTAACATCTAAGTATGCTATTTACACTTGTAACCCTGACGTTAAAATCAATGCATCAAAGCATGTATTTAGCTTTTAAGTGTAATTTTTTATGTAATATTAAAGATTTGAATGTTATATATATATATATAACTAAATACATATATAGCTAAATACACTTAAAAGCTAAATACATGCTTTGATGCATTGATTTTAACGTCAGGGTTACAAGTGTAAATAGCATACTTAGATGTTAGATATGTAAATACCTAAATATTACGTGAATTGCATGAAAATTATTCCATATGCATGCGGTGTCCGATCTACACCGTCGATCACTGATCTCCACCGTCGATCAAAAATTAAAAAAAAAAGTTATAAATGGGGTCCACCAAAATAATCTTTGTGATTATCAACGGTGTAGATCGGACACCACATGCATATCTGCATGCGCTGTCCGTTGAAATAATTTTTCATAAATTTTGCCCCAAAAAAAAAAAAAATAGCACAAGTTACATGCAACATAATTATAATTATGTTTAGTGATTACATCATAAATATTAAAAATTAATATTAGAATCATAAATAATAATGACTAAATTATTTAGAGCTTCTTGACAAATTGAAGGAGCAACTCTAGCCAAATAAATTGTTTCTTAATATTCGAAAAAATATGCTTTTATCTTTACGTTTTATAAAAGGGTTCGATGCCTACGTTAAATAGAAGAGCATCCAGAAAACCAAATAAGGGAGGTCTACTAAGGATCCGATTTCCAATAGAGTTGGGGTCAGATAAGAATTCGGCTCGAAAAAAATTTTTGATTCAAAATTTTGGCTCGTCTACTTTTATCTGATCTCGATCCGAGTCAAAATTCAAATAAATTTTTGAGTGACTAACGATCTTCGAGCTAAATTTACTAAATTCAAGTTCTAACATCACCAGAGCAAGTAACGATTTGATTTTGAGCCGAGCTAGTGGCTTGAAATTGGCTCAAAAAAAAAAAAAATTTTCAAACGAAAAATTTGACCCGTAATTTGGCTCATTAATTTCGATCCAATCTTGATTTGAGAAAAAATTCAAATCAACTTTCGAAGGATTAACGAACTTCAAGCTAAGTTTATAACTCTAGTAAAAAAATTCACAACCCCGTTTGGAAGTCCATTGAGCTGACGATAATTAGGAGAGAGAAAAATGATATTTTCGATAATAAAAATATAATTTGCAAATAACAACACCATCCGAGCTTAAGGTAAAATTGGACTTTAATCAAAGCTGATCTAAATTTACAAAAAAAAAAATCATAATTTGATCAATTAAAACAATCTAAAACTCAACTCAAAGTCCACTTTCTCTCTCCTAGGGTTTAGGCCTTTGACTTGAGAAATGGATCATTTTGACCAAAACCAATTACACCATTGAATTTCTCATATTTTTCTAGACCAAATGAGCCTAAGATAAAATTTTTTGTCATAGCTATCATAATCACTTTGTAACCACCCCTTACAATTCAACTTGTTATAACTTAAGCTAAACACATCCTTTTTCAAAATGATTTAGATCATTGGATTCCTTGTTTAATTCTCTTCAAAAAGACATATAATTGTGTTTTGCCATAACTACCTAACTACCTTGACAAAATACTAATATATCGTTCTCTTTTTTCAATATTCCCTCTAAGTCTCATCATCATTCAAATTTTCCCTCAATCCATCCTAACTACTCCCCCCATCTTTTCAAAATTCTCACTTAAAATCCCTTCAAAAATTGTGACCCCCATGATTGTCTCCTCTCATTCTCTCTCCAACTCCTCTCCCTCTCAAAATCTAACCCCTTTTTCTAGTCAAGAGAGTCAAAGCAAGGAAATCTTTCACCCAAGGAAGAGCACTAACCGAGGAAGCTATAATTTTTCACATCCTAATTGTTTATTTTAATTATTCCATGATGTAGATCCAAGGAACACATACTTTTCTCGTCCTTTCTTTCCAAAACCGACCCAATCACTTATTTTTCTCTCATTCTCTTCCTAAAACTGGCACCAACACTTGCTTTTCTCCCCTTTCTTCCCAAAACCGGCCCTAACTCTTCTCCCAATTTTTCTCAAAAGTGACCCTAGCACTTGCTTCTATCCCAACTTTTTCCAAAATCGAAACTTATCATACACACATACAACCCTAACCAAACATCCCTACCTGAAACCCATCATGCCAACCCTAAACCTTAACCTCTTCCCAAATTGAGCACTCTCGCCCATTTCCTACCCAACTAAGGACTTTCACCAATTGCATACCCAAAAACGATCACTTCCACCCATGTCTTATCCAAATGAGAACACCCTCTAACCTTGAGGGGACCCAACTGAACCCATCATGACATAGATTCATTTAAAATGAGCCCTAGGTGTCATAGCTAGCCTAAACACACCTTTATCCAAAAACAAAACAAAAAAAAAGAGCTCAGGAGAGAAGTGTGTATTGTGTGTAGTGTAGAATGTAGGGTCTATGTGTCTTAATATATAAATAAATGTATTTTAATGTATAAGTGTACTGGGGTGTGTATGTGTAGTGTAATGTGTACATTTATGTGTAATGAAATGTGTATGTTAAAGTGTAAGTGTGTGAGTGTGTTTCAATGTGTGTGTATGTATGTTAAAGTGTATGTGTGTTTCAATGTGTGTGTGTGTATGTTAAAGTGCATGTGTGTGTCAATATTGTTAGTGTGTAAGTGTATCTTAAGGTGTAAGTGAATATTTATGTATGTGTAAATGTAAGGAAATAATAGTATGTGTGTGGGGGTGTTTATGAGTAAATAAAAAAATGAGCCTGTGTATGTATTTGAATTAACTTGTGAAAGTTTTGATGCATGTGCATGTATGTTTGAAGGAATGTGTATAAGTTTGTTAATGTAGGCATGTCTGAATAATTATGTGTGTGCATGCGGTAGAATGAATAACCAATCAGATCTATATTTCCATGCAAGTTGGGATGAGCGTTATATTTTCATGCAAGTTGGATGAGCCTTATTTTTATTCAGATTGGATAACTTTATGTTTCATAAGCAAAAATATAAGCTAGGTGATTTTATGTGCAAATTATAACCTCATGATAATTGTAGACCTAGGGTGACATAGATTCTATGATTGAAGCTTTATATGAAAGGGAGTTTAATTCCTTAAATTAAGACAAAATGAGGGTCTAGTAAGACTTGTAATATATATATATATATGAAGATAATAAAATTTGAAAGTATTTTCTTATGAACAAATTAAAACTTAAAACCCTTTATTTTAAACAAAGACTAAAACCTTTAAAAAAAAAATAAATTAGAATTTTTCTTATTCAAACTTAAAACCTTTTTCTAAATAAATATAAAAAAAAGTCTTTCTCACATAAGAGTAATTTTTTTTTTCAAAATAAACTTAAAGCCTTTTATTTAAACTAAACATAAAACCTTTTTCAAACAATACTAAAACATTTTTTCAAGTAAAATTAAAATCTTTTTCAAACTGAACTTAAATCATTTTAAAAAAAAAACTAATTTTTTTTCAATTTAATTTTTTTTTAATTCAACTTAAAACCTTTTTCAAAATAATTAAATCATTTTTCAAACTGAGCTTAAAACCTTTTTAAAATAAAATTAAAACTTTTTTTAAAAATAAAATTAAAATATTTTTCAAACTAAACTCAAAAGCAGTACATATTGTGAATACCTAGATACAATAAACCCAACTACATCACTTATAAAAGCAATGATGTTTAGGTAAACCAGAGCCATGTTGACCTAGGTTTTTGAGTTAGGCTCATGTTAGGGAGGGATTTTAAACACATAAGTGATAATATTGAATAATTTTTGTTATTATTATATAATTAACTTTCTTAAAATTCATTTTGATTTGGTTTTGCCAAATATTTGTTATTGATATGTCTATCAATTAGCTCTTTGTAGGAATTAAAAATATATTAGTGATGGACAATTTATCAATAAATATTGGGAGATTTGATGATTCTTATTACAAAATTAATTGATAACGAAGATATTTATGATAGAATAAATTTCTACAAATTTAATGTATCTTTTTGTGGCAAAATTTATCGTATTTATATGAAAACAATTTGGGCAATTTAGATATTTACCACTCATTTCATATGTGTACCTCACTTCTAAATTTTTATATTTACTTATATACCTCTCAAATCTTAAATATTACATAAAAATATCGTTATTTTTAATCTCTTAAAAGTGAAATACATATTTTTTTGTATGAATTTTAGCCTCAATGTTATAAGTAATTATCGTACTTTGGTGTTAGATGTGTAAATAAATAAAAATTATTTGAATTGTACGTAAATTTCCCAGAAAAACTAAAACAAACACAAGTTGCCTTCTAACATAATAATACTTAGCGATTACATCATAAAACTAAAAAATTAATAACATACCACAAATCATAAATCATAATAACTAAACCATTGAAAAGCTCTCAACTGGGCCAGCTCAAACTCGACTCAAAACAAATTCAATCCAAAATCTTAACCCATTGCTCGATTCACTCATTTCATTCCAACCCAAAATTTGAATAAATTTTACAGTAACTAATGATCTTCGAGCTAAATTCATTAAACTCATAACCCTAACATTACTAGAACTATTAACAATCCGATTTTAAGCCGCGCTTCAATCAGCTCTAAATGACCCTCTAAAAAAAGCATAAAATAAAAGCAAAAACTACAAACCTTTCAAAAAAAAAAAAAAAAAAAACCATAATTTGAATTTCCCATCAAAATAATAACAACCCATAACGGTCTCCTCCCATCTCTCTCCCATCTCCGCCTATCTCCCAATCCACAGACGACCAATTCTCCCCCGCATCTCCCGCTCCTCCCTCCTCCTCCTCCTCCTCCTCCTCCCCCCTTCCCCGCAATCTCATGAAACCACCTCTCCCTCCAATCTCCATTCCACCGCCGAATTACGCGAAGAAGCAGAGAAACAGAGCGCATCCCAATCCCCCCATTTCGTCCCCTCATTCCCCCTCCCCTAAACTAAACATGGGCCCCTTAACTTCCCCCTCTTCCTCCGCCTGCGCGGCCTGCAAATATCAGCGCCGCAAATGCTCACCTGACTGCACACTCGCCCCCTTCTTCCCCGCCGAGAAACATCTCCAGTTCATCAACGCCCATCGCCTCTTCGGCGTCTCCAACATACTCAAAATACTCAAATCCGTCGACGAAAGCCACCGCCAGGAAGCCATGAACTCCATCATTTTTCAGTCCAATATTCGCGCGCAAGACCCCTCCGGCGGCTGCTACCGCATTATCCTCAATCTACAACGCCAGATTGAAGCGACTTACACCCAGTTACAACACGTACTCAACCAAGTCGCGTTTTTGCGATCTCAATTCAACCCCGCCGCAGACGGCGCGGCGGACATTGATGCCATCTATGGTCTGCAACAGCCACAGCAGCATTGTAATAATTTCTGCTTTGCTTACGATGTGCCGAAGGACCTGCAGGGCGCTCATGAACACGGTATCAACGGTCATGACAATGTTAATCCGATTGATATTGGAAATGAGGAGCTGCGGCAGCAAGTGTTGTTCGGAATTCAGGGGAAGGAGGGGAGAGAGGAAGGAGTGGATGTGCGGTCGCTTGCTGATATGTATGGAATGCAGCATGGATTTGGTATTTGTAAGGAACAGGAGGACGCTGCACAGAATATTAGCATTGGGTCTACGATCACTGGGCTGTGCAGGTTAGCAAGACTAAATTTTGAATTACTATTGTGTCAGAATGAATCAGTTGTTTTAGATGTGAATAAAATTACAGTCTTTTTGTTTATTCTCTGCATTCAGTGATTGTCCAAAGATTGTGTTTTTTATTCAGTAATGCATATCATGCATGATGCAAGTCTACTGTTGGACAAGAACTAAAAATTTAGAGCGCCATTGGTGAAAGATGATTGTAGCAAAGATTGGTTGGGTGAAGAAAAGTATTAGAATGTAGATTGGGGAGACTCAAATTTATTCTCACTTAATATCATAACAATCTTATTATAGAGTATTTGCCTGAATAGAACCTAATGGCCTCTTCCTTCTTCATTGGCCACTACAATTTAATTTTGAAAATATGTGTTTACATGTCTGACTACTAAAATTTTATATTTATATTTATAAGACATTGGTGGCATATAGATCTATGCATCAAAAAGTGTATTTCATTTTTAAAAGGTAAATCAAAGTGCATGTGGATTTCCACATATAACAATTTTCACCTTTAGATTGGTATAAATTAAGCTATGTTTTTGGAGATGGCACCCTTCGGTGCCAATGTCGAGCACATTTTAAGAGCTTGTAATTGCTATTAAAATATAATTCTAAGGGATTTCTCATCAACAATTTTGTCTTCTCACCTCCCACAAACTCAAGTTTGTTCTAGGTATCCTCCGACACCCAAAATCCATCTTAGCTCTTTTTGTGCAAATCTCTTATGTAACTTTGATCTCTTCAAGTGTTAACAAAACATTATAGTTGTGCAATGTTTTATGTTAGATGATATAAGGTCTTTTTAATCTCCTATTATGCTTGGTTTTTAAGAGTCTTCTAGATTCCACAAATAAGCTAGTAGCTAGCATCTTATTAAATATTTTTCAAGAATGATGTACAATGTTTGGCATTAACTTCTTTTGAAGGGAAGATTGTGGTAGTCTTTTTGTTATTTTGACCCCCAATTAATGAACTAAGGTAAAAGGGTACTTTTGTAATGTGGTACCGTTCACTTACAACATCTCACTTACCGTTCACCTACCGCTCACCTACTTTCCACCTACCACTCTCTTGCTTCTATAAATAGAGAGGGTGTGAGGCTTAGGAGGGCAAGGGAAGAGATCTTAAGCTACCACGAAGGAGGGAAGGAGATAGCTAGAGAGCTAGAGAGGAGGAGAGCATCTTGAGGCCTTGTATCAAGGTGTCGCTTGAGAGGGAGGTCATAGAAGGAAGATGAGGGCTCATCTCTATGTATAAGCTATGTATTCTCCATTTCTTTTGCCTTAGTGAACTATTTGATTGATTCCCTTCCGTGGACGTAGATCCAGTTGGATCGAACCACGTAAACGATCTGTGTTTGCTTGTGTTCTTTTTCGTCTCATTTCTATGCCAGAAATTACATATCTTACAACACTTTTCTAATTGCATATCATATGCAATTAGATGTCCATATTATAAGTGCTCAAATGCATATCATATCATATTGATTGGAAACAAAATGAAGAATTCTAAAATATCAGTATTTGCAGTTCACTTTACCCGAACGAAAGAATATAATTATAAATACGACATAGTTTTGTCTATTAATTTATATTTGTATAATCAACTGAAAGTTTGATACATTTTTGGCGGTGCAGCTCCATGGCCGAAGCGAAAGCTGATGCTAATATTATAGACGAAGTGCAGGAGCATGATCTGAGAAGTGCTGCTTCCTTCTTCAGTCTGAATAATTGTGACACTCAGGCTATCTAACCATTGATGCTATCTCTGATGGTTTTTGCTTATCATCCATGAACAGTACAGGAATTAATTCCCATTCATGCTTCCTGTTTAAGAAAAGGCATCTTTTTTTCTTAGTTATAGAGATTTAGGTTGCAGTAATAACATGAGAGACGAATTGAATCATTTAGGTTTTTTCTTTCTTTTTTTCTCTTTTTATGTTTAGTCAGGACTTGATCTTAAGCTAGCTAAATATTGAACTGGTTCCATTTTCATCTTTGTCTATATTCATTTCAAGGGTGAATTATCTAATTTATGATTGATGTTCTGTTAGAAGATTTGTTTCTTGGCCTTTTTTTCCCTTTCTTTTTAGTTTTTGTATTGTCAAGCTGTAATTTTGGTTTGTGTGGAACATGCAATAATGTCTCTGTCTTGAAATGAATTTGAGTTATAACTTGTAAGTTGCTTCTTAAGCTTTTAAAAGCTGTAGCCAAAAGCAATATTTTCTGTAATTTATCATAAATTGTGGCTAAGGCACTAATATTTCTAATATTTTGATTTGTAATCATATATACTATTTAAAGAAATAGCTCATCTCTTGATATGAGTCCATGACTGCGAGGAACGAATTAAATTTTGAAGTAATCTATTTATCTTTCAGACGGTAACTTCAACTTTATTCTCATGCAACTTAGCTCCTCAATATTACTATATTAGGAGATATATATATATATATA